TTTGAGCATCTCCTTACTGACTGCAATCTTCATGTCTAACAAATGGAAAATTAAGTTGGAAAACGAAAAGAACCTTAAGAAATGCAGGTTTGTATGGTAAATATATAATGAGTACTTAAGGTTTTTATCTGTTTAAAACTAAATAAGAAATTTTAGAGAAATATGCTTGTATAAATATTATATTCTCAGTCCTTATGTGATCATTCAATATAAGAACAGTTGTCTGTATTATTTTCTCATAACACTCTCACCATAGTGTGTAGTTGTATGCTCATTTCTTTGCTTATTATATCTATCCTCACTATTAAGTAGTTTGCTTTATTTGTGTTTGCTTTATTCACTGTAAACTCAGTAATTACCTTAGAGCCTGGCATACGATAGAGAGTCAAATTTTTTTGGCATAAGTCTAGCAAGAAGCTTACAGCTGTGTATAGCCCTAGCCCTTTCTACCAGTGGCAGTGCTTTGGTTGAAATCTGAGTGAGGTTACATATTAGTATATTAGTCTCTCTTCTCTTAGAGGATGAGCCACAGGAACTGCATATTTAAAATGTATTTACTTAAGAACTTTTTACTTTTTTTTCCTGTTGCACAATCTGGTGTGGAATATTACTTGTAAATCTTAGGCTCAATATGTTACAATTAAGTAATCATTTAAATATCAAGGCTCATTTTCAGCATATTATGTATACTGATTCCACTGATGATATTCTAAATTTATATCTTCTGACATTGTGGGTCCACTTCCCAGTACTCCTGACTTATGTGTCCAACTGCCTATTAATGATCATTTACTCTATGTGGAAGTGTGATAGGCATTTACAGTTTAACATGTTCAAAACCAAAGTCCCAATCTTGCTACTGCCCCTTGAATCTGAACCTGTTCTTCTGCCAGTCTTCCTCCTTTCAGTTACTGGTAGTTCCATCCTTACATTTGCTCAGAGTACAACCATTGATATTATCTTTGATTTTGCTTTTCCTTTCATACCCCACCCAATCCATCAACAAATCAATGTCAGCACTCCCATTATGTTATATATGGAATCTTACCAATTTTTCACCTCTTATACCACTACTACACTGGGCCAAGCCATCAGGAACTCTTACTTCACTATTACAATAGCCACTTAATCTCCCTACTTTAAATCTGTCCCCCTCAGTCTATCAACAAATGAGCAGCCAGAGTGATTCTTTTAAAGGGCCAGTCAGATCATGTCGCTCCTCTCCTCAGAGCCTTCCATAGACTTCCTATTACCCACAATGAAAACCAAATCTTATAAAATGACTTAGAAGGCTGTATACATGCTCTTGTCCCAGATTATCTCTCTGAACTAGTTTCTTATTATATGCCTTGCTCACTGGCTCAGCCACACTGGACTGTTTTTTGAACACACATGCACATTCCTACCTCAGAGTCTTTGTATTTACTTTTGCCACTGGCTGGAACGCTCTTCTACCAGGTATCTTCATAGCTGTTTCCCTCACTACCTTGAAGTCTTTACAAAAATGTCACCTTTTTCAGTGAGGTCTTTCTTCCTTTATGACTGTATTTAAAATTGACAACCCTCTCTTCACCCCTTTACTACTACTCTTCAGTCCTCCTTCTCTGCCTTGTTTTTCTCTTCAGTACTACCATGTGACCTGCTATGTATTTTATTTATTTGCTTATCTGTTTTTACTCTTACTTAAGCAGGCAGGATTTTTTGTCTGCTTTAATCACTGCTATATTCCCACCATTTGCAATGATGTTTAGCCTATAATAGGTGTTAATACACTTTTGTTTCATGGGATAAATCTGAGAGGAAAACAATCAGGAAATAATTAAAAAGTACAGAATCTGCTTTTAAGTAACTTTATTTTCTTTGATGAGGGGACTGATGTAATACAAGTGATAAACTTTACACATTTTTTAATCAACATCTAAGCCTTATAAGAAGGGAAATCGAATTTTGAATAAACATGAAAAATTACAATTAATTACCTCTATGTACGTCAGAAGCAGATACTGTTATATGAGGCAGTTTTCTTAAAGTAATCAAGAATTAGACTTTACTTTTATGTCCAGATTCTTTTTCATTGTTGTATGTACCCTTTTTTCACTAGGAAAAAAATTTTACCTCAATATGAAAATTGATATTTTAAAATTTTAGAAATGATTTTAATAATATATGTAAAAGAAATGTATCTTTTGATTAGAGACTAACAGTTCTACTCAGAACAGGGTGGAGAGCTTCTAGATGGCTGGCCACAGGGAGGTTCCTGGAAGGTGGCCTGCCCCTTCCCTCATACCTTGCCCTAGGCATCTCTTTATTGGTATCCTTTGTAATATCCTTTATAATAAACCTGTAAATGTAAGCACTTCTGCTCCAGCATGTTAACTGAACCCAAAGAGGAGGTCAGGGGAATACCCTTCCCCCCAAAAACAAGAACAGAATGGAGTTAGCAACTGTGAGGGAAATTGTTCTTGATTTTATTGCACATTTTCCAACACTGATAAATATAAGATTTTTGGATAAGAAGTCATTGATTCAAGATTTCAATATTCAACTGAATTGTACTCTTAGTATAGTAACACTCTCAAAGGATGTGGTAGCTCTTTGTCTAGTACTGCCTGACTGCTGGAAATTGTGTTTTGTGGTTTGCTTTTGGTGTATTTTTCCCCTAACTGGTATCTGTCACTTCTTTTTGAAAATAGAAAAGCAGATTTTTATATATCAAATAAGTCTCCCCATTCCTAAAACTCTTATTCCTGCCAAAACTTGAATTTGGGGTCATACTGATTTTAGGATCCAGACATAGCATTAAACTTTAAGAATTCACACTTAGCAGTCCTTAAACTTTAAAATGCATGATTTTGTTTATTTAAATGACCCTATAAAGTCTAAAATAAAAATAAGTCAATTCTGTTTAAATTTTTTTAACACAGTAATTATTAAACCAAAATATACCTTATAGCTACAGAGGCCTTACCTGACTATTTGTTTTCCTTTTTGACAGAACTCGTTAGTTAGAAAAAGAAACTTAAGAAGTTCTTCATTTGGGTGAGGAGAACTTAGAGTCATTATATCCATTATATACTCATTTATCACACATTGATTCAGCAAAATATATGAAAAATAATGTTTGAAAAAATAAGGAATGCTATTGGGAAGGATTTTAAATCATGATAAATAAGTAGCTATTGGTGATTAAAAAACAGACCTCTTTCCTTACAGGAATTGTGACTCTCT